CGTGGTCCTGCTCCTCCCTTAGAGTGTCCATAGCCTGTCCAGTCGCAGTCACAGTTACAGCCCGCCTCCCCACTACCTGCTCCTTCTCCCTACACAGGTCCTACTGGAGGTCTTGCTGAGCGTCGTGAGCCTGCGTCTCGTCCTGCGTCGCCTGTTCGTGCTGCTCGCACTAGTCGTCGTGCTGCGCGTCCGCGTCCTCTTGCGGTCCCCGGCACACACTAGATGGCACTGCGTCCGTCCACTGCTCCTCTGCGTGTCCCTTTGCCGTCTCAGAGTCCTCTCTTCCTTCTCTTGCTGACTCGCAATCAGACTCCCTTCGTGCTGCTAGTCCTTCAGTCACGCGCCTTCTTGCTACTGTTGTCACAGACCCTTCCTTTGAGTCCACTGCTGCGTCTGCTCTAGTTGCTCAGCTTGTCGACTTCGCTGCTCGCTGTCGTCTAGACTACGCTGCCAGTCTGGTTGTTGAGTCTGAGTCTGTCTGTCCTCCGTCCGTCGGGGGTGAGTGTGTTCTTAGCACGGACGTCCTTGAGGACAGGCAGGAGGAGTTCTGGTGCTTTGCGGCTGCTTTGCCCCATCTCGTGTCCACGCTGATTGCCCCTGAGGGAGACCCGGATGCACTAGACATCCCGACTCCTCGATCGTACGCTGAGGCGATCGAGGGTCCCTACTCCTCTCAGTGGCAGTCAGCCATGGACGCAGAGATGGCTTCCTAGAAGTCCAAAGGCACCTACGTCGACGAGGTTCCCCCACCTGGGGCGAACATCGTCAGTGGGATGTGGATCTTCAGGGTGAAGCGGCCGTCGCGCTCTCCGCCTATCTTCAAGGCGCATTACGTGGCTCGAGGCTTCAGTCAGCGGCAGGGAGTTGACTACTTTCAGACCTTCTCTCCCACCCCGAAGATGACCACTCTTCAGGTGCTGCTCCACATAGCTGCTCAGCGCGACTACAAGCTTCAATCTCTTGACTTCAGCACAACTTTCCTGCAGTGCATCCTGCACGAGGAGATCTGGCTGCGCCGCCCTCCTGGCTTCACTGGGTCGTTTCCTCCTGATACCCAGTGGAGCCTTCGGCGGCCACTCTACGGTCTCCACCAAGTGCCCCGTGAGTGGAACGACACACTGAGGACTACACTTGTGGCTCTTGGGTTTGCTCCTTCTACAGCCGACCCGTCGCTGTTTCTACGCACCAACACCTCTTTGCCGCCGTTCTACATCCTCGTGTACGTTGACGAGTTGGTCTTTGCCACTGCTGACACTGCTGGACTCGCCCACGTGAAGTTCGAGCTGCAGAAGAGACACACGCACACAGACCTGGGTGAATTGCGCAGCTACCTTGGCTTGCACATCACCCGGGACAGAGCACAGCGCACCATTACCCCAACTTAGTCACACATGGTGCAGCAGGTCCTTCAGGGCTTCGGCTTCACGTACTCCTCGCCTCAGGCCACTCCTCTGTCTACTCGCCACTGGCTCTCAGCTCTGCCTTCGGATGAGTCCGTAGAGTCGAGTGGCCCGTACCCAGAGCTTGTTGGCTGCCTCATGTACCTGATGACCTGCACACGACCTGACCTTGCATACCCTCTTAGCATCTTGGCACGCTATGTTGCTCCTGGGAGACACAGACCAGAGCACATGGCTGCAGCGAAGAGGGTGTTGCGCTACTTGTGCAGTACGTCGGGCATGGGGCTAGTGCTTGGAGGGCGACGTCGAGTAGTCCTCACAGGTCACGCTGACGCTTCTTGGGCTAACGACCAGGCTACGCAGCGGTCGTCACAGGGTTACACCTTCAGCCTTGGCTCCCTCTGTTTCGTGGCGGTCTACCCGCTCGTCCTCTATTCTCGGCTCCAGCTGTGAGGCTGAGATCTACGCAGGGGCCATGGCTGCGCAGAAGCTACGCTGGCTCACCTACCTTCTGACTGACCTAGGAGAGCCGCCTCGTTCTCCTCCAGTTGTGTACGTAGACAACAAGGCCATGCTGGCCTTGTGTTGGGAGCACAGACTGCAGCACAGAACGAAGCACATTGCTCTCCGCTACTTCCTGTCTCGTGAGTTGCAGCATCCTGGTCAGCTCTGCCTCACCTTCGTGGCCTCTGAGGCCAACACTGCTGATATCTTCACCAAGGCCCTTCCACCTTGTGATCATTAGCGCTTCTGTACTGTGCTAGGTCTTGTGCCTACCGGGCCTCAGTTGCTCACTTCTTGATCTTGTTTGTACTGTATTCTTTCTATACCTGCCCTTGCTTGTTTTACCTTTATATACATGTTCTTGCATGTGAACTGGCCTAGTGGCCTTACTCTTGTGCTTGGAGTGTGTGGTGACTATGTGATCCACCCTAAGCTTGCTTTGCTTTGCTTTACTTGACTGGTCTTGTGACCACTTGTTCTCCCCCACTTTGCCTATGGGGGTGTGTCTGAACATTATAGCTTATACATTTTTGTAGGCTGTAGTGGGGTAGCCCACAAGGGGTACAACCCAATTAGGGTTAGTACTTGTACCCAACTATTTCATAGTTCATTCATTCCATTCTCACCAGCCTTCATTAAAGCATCTTTCAAAGATAACTTTAACGAATTCTGTTTTTTTCCGGGGTCGAATTGGAGAGTTCCCGTCTTGGTCGAGTCTCTTATCTCGGATGTTTTCTTTTCCTCTGACAAATTTCAGTCAAGGGGCTTGGGATTTCGCCCTTGATTCTCCAAATCTCGCGCCCAATGCTGTCCTTCTATTTCGATTCGGTCTAGATTGCGCTGACGCTTTCGGATCTGCTTTTCCTCGCCAACACGATCCGCAATTACTGGCGAGATCCGTTTTTTGACTTTTTGTCTTTAGGTTTGCAACTCCGACGAGCTCGGAATGCCGCACGTGCAGATTTCATGTGAAAACAGTCGACGATTCGATGCCCGTTTCCGCCGCAAAATTCGCAAAACGTTTTGTTTTTTGCAGGTCGTGAATTCGCGTCGAATTTGTCAACTTCCATGGGGTCGGCGAACGTGGTTGAAGCCGAGCGATCCCCTTGTCGAGATCTGACGACGTGGGGTCGTGTTCCGGAGTTGACCAAGTCAAAACGCTCCGCGGCCGATACGATTTTGCTGTAGCTGCTGCAATTCGCTGCTGCAACCTGGCGCCGAATGTCGGTTTTCAGCCCCGCGATGTAGGACTGAATTTTTTCACCCTCGGTAATGTCGGGAATGCGATCATAAAATTCCTCCATCTGCTGTGTGTATTGCGCGACACTCCCGAATTGCCTATGGTGATGTAATTTTTCGCGCGATATATAAGTGGAATTAATCGGCTCAAAACGTTTGAGAAGGTCTGCCCGGAATTGCTGCCACGTGGCTTCGCCCTAGAAAGTGCTACTGTTGCTTCCGAGCCACTCTAGAGCTGGACCGCGCATCAACGTTGTCGCGAGACGAATTTTTTCGCCGTCGTACTCCGTCGTCAACCATCTGATCGCCGCAAAATAAAATTCTATCGTCGCGAGCCACCGCCTAACATCGGATTTTCGATCGCTAGGGTTGAACGATTCCGGCGAGCGAAGTTTCGGAACCTCGAACTGATGCTGCGTCTGCTGCGAAGTCGTCGAAGCAGGAATGTTCATGGTCGAGAGGAGCTTTGTAACGCGCTGTAGTTCGTTTCGCAGCTGCTCGTTCTCGAATCGCGACCGTTCAGTCGTCGCTCGCATCTCCGCTTCCATCTTGGCAATTTGCGCGAAGAGCTGTTGCGTAACGTCGTTGGTCGCCGGCATACCCATGCTGTTCAGAAACCACGCGAAGGGGGTTAATTCGAAAAGCGCGGAATGTGAAGAATGAGAACGAGAATGGATGAACTATGAGCGAAGTGGGTACAAGTACTAACCCTAATTGGGTTGTACCCCCTATGGGATACCCCACTATAGCCTACACAAAAGCATAAGCTATAATGTTCTGACACACTCCCATAGGCAAAGTGGGGGAGAACAAGGGGTCACAAGACCAGTCAAGCAAAGCAAAGCAAAGCAAGCTCAGGGTGGATCACAATGTCACCACACAGTCTGAGCACAAGATCACAAGGCCACAAGGCCAGTTCACATGCAGGAGGAGACATATATATATAAGTCTAAACAAGCAAGAAAAGGCATATATATTTGCAAGAGTACAAGTAAGGTCAAGAGGTGAGCAAGTGAGGCAAGACTGGGACAAGTCCCAGCTGAGTGCAGAAACGCTGATGATCACAAGGCGGAAGTGCCTTGGTGAAAACATCAGCAGTGTTGGCCTCAGAGGCCACGTACGCAAGTCGCAACTGACCACGCTGCTGCAGCTCACGAGCAAGAAAGTAGCGGAGAGCAATGTGCTTCGTTCTGTGCTCCAGGCGCTGCTCTCGACACAAGGCCAGCATGGCCTTGTTGTCTACGTACAGCACTGGAGGAGAACGAGGCGACTCTCCAAGGTCAGTCAGCAGGTAGGTGAGCCAGTGAAGCTCCTGAGCAGCCATGGACCCGGCGTAGATCTCAGCCTCACAACTGGAGTCGAGAACAGAAGACGAGCGAGTAGCCCGCCACGAAACAGAGCGGAACCAAGGCTGAAGGTGTAACCCTGCGACGACCGCTGCGTAGCCTGGTCGTCAGCCCAAGAAGCGTTCGCGTGCCCAGTGAGGACCACTGGACTCCGCCCTCCAAGCACTAGCCCCATGCCCGACGTACTGCACAAGTAGCGCAACACCCTCTTCGCTGCAGCCATGTGCTCTGGTCGGTGTCTCCCAGGAGCAACATAGCGTGCCAAGATGCTAAGAGGGTATGCAAGGTCAGGTCGTGTGCAGGTCATCAGGTACATGAGGCAGCCAACAAGCTCTGGGTACGGGCCACTCGACTCTACGGACTCATCCGAAGGCAGAGCTGAGAGCGAGTGGCGAGTAGACAGAGGAGTGGCCTGAGGCGAGGAGTACGTGAAGCCGAAGCGCTGAAGGACCTGCTGCACCATGTGTGACTGAGTCAAGGTAATGGTGCGATGTGCTCTGTCCCGAGTGATCTACAAGCCAAGGTAGCTGCGCAGTTCACCCAGGTCTGTGCACGTGTGTCTCTTCTGCAGCTCGGATTTCACGTAGGCGAGTCCAGCAGTGTCCGCTGTGGCAAAGACCAAGTCGTCGACGTACACGAGGATGTAGAACGGCGGCAAAGAAGTGTCGGTGCGCAGAAACAACGACGGGTCAGCAGTAGAGGGAGCAAACCCAAGAGCCGCAAGCGTGGTCCTCACTGTGTCGTGCCACTCACGTGGTGCCTGGCGGAGACCGTAGACTGGCTGTCGGAGGCTCCACTGGGTGCCAGGAGGGAAAGTCCCAGTGAAGCCAGGTGGACGGCGCAGCCAGATCTCCTCGTGCAGGCTACCCTGCAAGAAAGCAGTGCTGAAGTCAAGAGAGTGGAGCTCGTAGTCGCGCTGAGCCGCTATGTGCAGCAGCACCCGAAGAGTGGTCATCTTCGGGGTGGGAGAGAAGGTCTGAAAGTAGTCAACTCCCTGCCGCTGACTGAAGCCACGAGCCACGTACCGCGCCTTGAAGACAGGTTGAGAGCCCGGCGGCCGCTTCACCCTGAAGATCCACATCCCACTGACGATGTTCGCCCCATGAGGGGGAACCTCCTCAACGTAGGTGCCTGTGGACTTCCAGGAAGCCATCTCTGCATCCATAGCTGCCTGCCACTGAGAGGAGTAGGGACCCTCTACGGCCTCCGCGTAAGAGCGCGGAGTCGGGATGTCTAGTGCATCTGGGTCTCCCTCAGGGGCAAGCAGTACAGACGCGAGATGAGGTGAAGCAGCAGCCAGACACTGGAACTCCTCCTGCCTGTCCTCAAGGACGTCCGTGCTAAGAGCACACTCACCCCCGACGGACGGAGGACAGACAAACGCAGACTCAGCAACAAGACTAGTAGCGTAGTCTAGACGACAGCGAGCAGCGAAGTCGACGAGCTCAGCAACAAGAGCAGACGCAGCAGCGGACTCAAAGGAGGGGTCAGTGACAACAGTAGCAAGGAGACGCGTGACACTAGGACTGGCAGCACAAAGAGAGTCCGACTCAGGGTCGGCAAGCGCAGGAAGAGAGGACTCAGGAGGAGAGGGCAAAGGGGCATGCAGAGGAGCAGTGGACGGACGCAGAGACATCCGGTGCGTGCCAGGGACAGGAGGAGGACGCTGACGCGAACTGCGACCACTAGTGCGAGCAGCACGAACAGGCGACGCAGGACGAGACGCAGGCTCACGACGCTCAGCAAGACCACCAGTAGGACGAGTGTACGGAGACGGAGAAGGCAGTGGGGAGGCCGGCGATAACTGTGACTGCGACTGGACAGGCGGTGGGTCCTCTAAGAGAGGAGGAAGACCAAGAACCTGCTGAAGGAGCGGAACGAAGTACGGCCGAGGCCGCGCGGCGGCACCAGACACAGCAGGGACAGCACTAGCACCCTCAACACCTCCGGCAGCACCAGCGCCAACAGCAACTCCACCGGCACGACCTCCAGTAGCGCCAGCATACCCGCAGCACGACCACCACCAGGACGTATAGTAGTAGTCTCAGAACCAACACCCTCACCAGCTCCACCTCCAGGCGGACCCGCAGGCCCAGCAGCTCCGGGAACGGCGGCACCAGCACCCTCAGCAGCCGAAGAAGCGCCAGCTCCAGCAGTACGCCTCCAGCGGCGAGCAAACCACTCACGCAGCTCCTGTGGAGAGAGTGGCTCCCACCGAGACGAAACACCCGGAGAACCTCCAGGCCCAGTACCGTCAGACGCCACAAGGGGAGGTCCAGTGGCCGCAGGTTCCACACCTCCAGGCTCAGCAGCTCCAGACTCAGCACCCCCAGGCTCAGCACTCCCAGGCTCAGCACCCATGTGCGCAGCACCCTTAGAGTCAGCACCCCTAGGCTCAGCACCCCCAGAGGCAGCACCCCCAGGCTCAGCACCCCCAGGCTCAGCACCCCCAGGCTCAGCACCCCCAGGCTCAGCACCCCCAGACTCAGCACCCCCAGAGTCAGCACCCCCAGGCTCAGCACCCCCAGCAGTACCTGAGTCACCAGCAACCTCGACCGGCTCGACTGCATCGACCTGGGACACACCTGAAGGGGCAAGACCCTGAGGGGGAAGGGGGTCTACCGGGGGGGGACCTGGTACAAGGAAGTGCGGCGGCGGCGGGAGGGAAGGAGTGCGGTAGGGGAAGGGCGGTAGAAGGGGACTGACTCGTCGAACGTGATGTCCTGGGAGGACAGAACACGACGAGAGGAGGAGTGGTAGAACTGCCACCCTGGGGCGCCAGGGGGGAAGCCTAGGAAGACACAGGGAGCAGCACGAGGGGACAGCTTGTCCGCAGACAGGTCACGGACAAACGCCCGAGATCCCCGGACACGGAACGCAGACGCATTGCCGACCTTCCCCGTCCACAGCAGAGCTGGGGAGGTCTCCGGCCGGGAGACCCTGGGGTGAAGGTTGAGCTGATGCGCCGCGTACCGAAATGCAAACGGCCACAGAAAATGGGGGGCAGCCACATGCATCATGGACGTACGAGCGACGTCCATGACCATGCCAATGCGGCGCTCAGCAATCCCATTTTGCTGTGGAGAGTCCGGAAGCGTGAAGGTCTGGCAGATGCCTCATGCACGACAGTAGGCTCGCAGAAGGCCAGAGGAGAACTCTCCTCCTCGGTCAGAGTGCAGACACAGAACAGGATAGTCCGAGCCGAAGCTCCTCCTGAGCTAGAGACGAGCCGCGCGGATCCAGTCGATCAACACCCCAGTGACATCACCCTTGCTGCGCAAGGGGAAGACTGTGGTGTAACGCGAGTGGTCGTCAACCACCAGCAGGAAGTAGCGCTTGTGACCCTGTCCACGGACGCGGGCCGGGCCCCACACGTCCATGTGAAGCGTCTGCAGAGGAGCATCTGTCGGGGGAAACTGGGAGGAGTGAGGGGCAGCCCGGAGCCGCCCCTCGACACAAGGGACACAGGAAGGTCCTGGCCCCGAAGGAAGGGGAGGGAGAGACCGGGGGAGGCCAGAGACAAGGACACGGGAAGCCATGCCCCGAAGACGAGGCAAGGAGGGGTGGCCAAGACGGTGGTGCCACAAGAGAGTCTCGTGAGACAGGAGGCGACACGAGCAGGGGGCAGACTCAGGACCCGACCTGGACGCAGCAGCAAACACCTGACCCGACGCAGCTACCTGGCCAGACGCAGGGACTGGAGGAGACTCAATGGTCAGGGTGTAGAGACTCGACCCCGGCCGACGCGAAAACGTGGCTTGGTGTCGGCCTGTGCGGGCGTCCGAGCAGTGGGTCCCCGGCTGACTCGCAGGAGTAAACTGGTGAACCCCCGCATCCTGCAGGTCAGCACCACTCACCAAGTTTGTCGAGAACGAGGGGAGGTACAGACACGTCAGGGTGCCCGAGGGGGCAGCCGGACACGGGAGGACAGTGGAGAAGTGAGCGAGGACAGGACCCCTAGAGGGGTCAGCCAGGGAGACTGCAACCGGCGGACCAAGCGGCGTGAGTGTGGTGCGGTCTCGAAAGAAGGAGCGAGAAGCCCCTGAGTCAAGTGTGAAGGTGAGGGAGGCCGAAGCCGACGCAGTACCTGAGAGCGCAGCCTCACCAGTACCTGAGAGCGCAGCCTCACTAGTACCTGAGAGCGCGGACGCACCGGCACCTAGAGCAGTAGCCTCACAAGAACCTAGCGCAGCAGTACCAATGCCCGGGTCGGGCGGGAAACACCGGTAACAGTCACCCTCATCACTAATAGTCACAGCATACATGGCAGCAAGGATAGCATCAAAGTCAAGAGCAAAGATAGCCACGCCAGCCCTAGACAACTCTCCCCAGCGGGGGATCTCCGTGGCCTCCGGAAACTGCTGACGCCAAGCGTCCGTCAGGCGGCCAAAGCAGCGCTGGGTGGGGTGGGCGCCCCCACACTACTCACCCGCGCGGTCGCCAGTGCGAAGGACGTAGGTGCAGGGACCAAGTCCCCCACCACGCTGACGCTGCGTGTACCACTCACGGAGCTGCTGAGGGGTGGGGACGTCGCGAGAACGCTGCTGCTGCTGCTGCTGCTGCTGGCGCTGACCACCCCCAGTGCCGCTCCGCTGTGAAGTGCCACTCCGACCACCTCCACCACCTCCTCCTCCACCTCCTCCACCTCCGCCACCGCCGCCACCCCCGCCGGTACAGCCGCCGTCGACGCCGCCTCCGCCACCACTGCTGCCGCTAGCACCCCCACCCCCGCCACCTCCTCCACCGCCACCCCCACTCCCTCCGCCACCTCCACCTCCACCGCCACCGCCCCCGCTAGCCCCACCCGCTCCCTTTCCCCCTTTGCCCTTGCCAGAGGGACGTCTCCCGCTAAGGGCAGATGCCGCACCGACCGACTCAAGACCAACGAGGTCGGCCGCAGCGGCAGAGGCGACAGAGGGCAAGAGAGGGTAAGCAGAACACCCCTCAAAGATGGGGGCGCGGGGGTCACCTCGAGAGGCTCCTACAGCGACGATGCTCTTCTCCGCCGCTAGGAGGGCCTACTCTCGGCTGTCAACTGTGAGAGTGGTGGGACAGACCGCGAGGAAGTGGTCCCGGACTACACGAAGGGAGTCAGGGAGGCGGGTGACTAGAAAGTAGAGAGTGATGTACATGGGGGGGGGGGGGGGGTTCTTGGCGCAGAAGTCAGCAGGAAGCGCAGCGCGGTAGCGGGTGTCACTAGTGCGGAGATGCGTAATGAGATCAGCGACTGTGGGAAAGGGGGCAAGGTCAGGGAAGAGGAAGGGTAGCATGAGGCGGCTCAGTGCAGCAATGGCAGGGGAGGAGTAGCGCGCAACTACAGCGTCGTACAAGGTCTGAGCACTCTTGTACTGACTAAAGTGCGCACGCTCAGAGGTAGGGAGGTGGCGACGCACAGCAAGACGTGCAGCAGCATTGCGCGTAGCCCACTGGGAGCGAACAGTAGGGTCAGCATCAGCAGCAGGGGCAGGGGAAGCGCCAGAGGTAAGGTCAAAGAGAGAGAGGCCGTCTGCCCTATCGCACTGTAAGAATAGCTGGAGGTCATCTACCCAGACCTCAAAGTCAATGGCCCGACCCTCAGCGTCAAAAGCGAGGACACTGGGGGTAGCCATGACGACAGACGCCTAGCAGTGCAAGCAGTAGGGTGAGGGCAGCGCAGTGAAAAAAAGAAAGCTCTGTGCTCACCAGACTGGGCAGAACGGGCCGTATGGAAGTAGGGCAGCTCAGCGGCCGGCGGCTCAGCTGCGGGGCGGCTCGGCTTCTCCGCGGCTCGGCTGCTGGGCGGCTCTGCGGCTCGGCTGCTCGGCTGCTGGGCGGCTCGGCGGCTCGGCAGCTCGGGTGTTGGACAGCTCGGCTGCTGGGTGGCTCGGCGGCTCGGCGGTCGGCTGTTGGGCGGCTTGGCGGCTCAGCGGCTGGGCGACCCGGCGGTCGGGCGGCGGGTGGGCCGCAGGTAGGGCGGCGGGCGTGCCGCAGGTAGGGCGTCTGGCGGGCTGCTGAGTAGGGCGGCAGGGCCGTCGATGTAGGGTAGGGCGGCGGGGCCGCAACGTAGGGCGGCGGGGCCACGAAGTAGGGCGGCGGGGCCGCGACGTAGGGCGGCGGCGCCGTCGAAGTAGGACGGCGGGGCCGCGACGTAGGGCGGCGGCGCCGTCGAAGGGTAGGGCGGCGGGGCCGCGACGTAGGGTAGGGCGGCAGGGCCGCGACGTAGGGCGGCGGGGCCGTCGAAGTAGGGCGGCGGGGCCGCGACGTAGGGCGGCGGCGCCGTCGAAGGGTAGGGCGGCGGGGCCGCGACGTAGGGTAGGGCGGCAGGGCCGCGACGTAGGGCGGCGGGGCCGTCGAAGTAGGGCGGCGGGGCCGCGACTTAGGGCGGCGGCGCCGTCGAAGGGTAGGGCGGCGGGGCCGCGACGTAGGGCGGCGGGGCCGCTAGAGTAGGGCGGCGGGGCCGCGACCGAAAGGCGGCGCGACGGGCCGCTGGGAGGGGGGGAGGGCGACACGACGGGTCGCTAAAAAAAAATAAAAACGCGCGCCTCGGGGCGCGCTTCGGTGGGCCCAAGAAACAGTCCCTAGGAGGGGACCTGCTCTGATTCCATGTGAAGAATGAGAACGAGAATGGATGAACTATGAGCGAAGTGGGTACAAGTACTAACCCTAATTGGGTTGTACCCCCTATGGGATACCCCACTATAGCCTACACAAAAGCATAAGCTATAATGTTCTGACACGGAACTGGTGCTTACCAGAAATCGGCGTCGAATTGGTCGCCCCCGGCGGTTTTTCGAGACGATTTTTTCCGCGACCGCTGCTTAGCCGAGAGTCGTCGAGTGAGAACGGCTCTAATTACCAAGTGTCACAGGATCGAATTCTCAATCAATACTTGTCCCTAAAACTTAATACAATGCATTTTTATACTCGGAAAATACAAGGATAAACGAGATAAAACGAACCTTCGGGAAAACGCCCTTCCCGATACTACAATCACAAGTGCGCACAAGCACGCAAGGCTATTGGCACTTGGGATTACGCCCAGATTACGACGTATACACCACTGTCGGCGCTGTCGGTGCCGTTTAATACGTATGTCGGTGGGAAAGGTAGGAAATAAGAGAAATAAATAGAAGGCTCTAGAAAATAGAATAGTAGGCCGATTGAGATGAGATAAAGACCAAAATAAAGAGGAGAAAAGGGAGAATGGGATAACGGAAAAATATAATAGTGAGAAAATATTATAACGGGGACGTCCTCTCATACTCGCCTTGTACCCAGGTGATTCATTCATTAGATTTATCTTTCTTGAACCAGATCCTCACAGTAGTCGAGGTGGCGGTGGTGGTGGCGGTGGCGGGGGTGGTGGTAGTGGCGGTGGTGAGGGTGGCGGAGGTGGCGGTGGCGGTGGCGGTGGAGGTGGCAGCAGCAGCCGCCACAGCAGAAGCTAGAGACATCCTTGCTCAAAGACTTAGGTGAGCCGCTTAGAACTATCCCGGTCCTATTTGCTAATAACAGGGCCATAGTTCTCCTGTGCCAGGAGCCTAGACTGGATGGCAAAGCAAAGTAGTTTAGTTGCGGTACCTCCTAATGCGCGAGTTTTAGGGCGTATCCATGTTCGGGTCATGTGCACTGTTCTGGGCATCCGCAATTTGCGGATGACCCAAACAACATAAAACGCCACTTTGGGTTATCCGAACTCCTGCGACCCCCAAAGAGCCGCGAGGGTTTTCGCGCCAAAATCACTCTCCCCTCAATAGTCGTATCCAATGGAGGGATGCCAGAACAGTTCGTAAGATCCACGCGAAACCATGCGAAACCCACCGAAAAAACACAATCGTCAAAATTCCTGGCGTGAATCCCCAAATGTTGGGAGCGCGACGCGGGAAAATTTAGACAAACTCATTTTCACTGGGGTCAATTTGCCGAGTGGTTGGGTGCTGAGGTGTAAGACGTGGGACCTTGCCTACTTGTGACACTCGACTGACGACCGCCAAAAAATGGCAGTAAATACAGAATCATGCAGCCAGGTGATTGGTTGGGGGTGGGTCGTGCATGTCAGACGCCCAACACCTGCACATTGACCCAAAGCTGGGGCCGTGCGCGGCTCGGCAGCCCCCTTCGGGTCATGCGCAAATTCCGCATGACCCAAACAGTAGCCAGAACATTGCTCATGACCCGAACATGGATACGCCCTTAGTAGCGCGGCCAGGCATGCATAGTACACTTGGCCTCAGGGGCCAATACCGCTGACATCTTCACCAAGGCGCTCCATCCTCGTGATCACCAGCAGCTCTGCACACAGCTTGGCCTGGTCCCAACAGGTCCTCACTTGCCATTTTCTTAATCTCTGTATCTTGTACTGTATCTGATTTTGTCTATATATATGCTCAATTATTGGCCTTGTGGCCGTTTGTTTTAGAGGTTGGGCTAGTATTACTGCCCTGGGTTGTACCTCATACTCTGTGTTACTCTTGTTGACTGATCTTGTGGCTGCTTGCCTTAAAGGTTGGACTGGCTCTGCCTCAGGTAATGGAATTGGAAGGGTGGAGGTGGAGTAGGAGATGGAGGTAAAGGAAGAAGGTGAGGGTGGAGAGGAAGGTGAGGGTGGGGAGGAAGGTGAGGGTGGGGGGGAAGGTGAGGGTGAGAATGAGGGGGGGATAATGAGCAGAGGGATCCGGCTCGGGTGATGGCAGCGAGTGCCCGTATGACCCGGCTGTTGATGGGGTGGGGGAGAGGGTGGAGAGGGCTGAAGACGAGGAGCGTGACATGGCTGGTTGTGAGAAGGAGGCGGAGGGGGAGGGTTTTGCGCCTGGGGGGGGACGGGGTGTGGAAGGGCTGGGGATAGAGGGCATGGGAGGGCACGGGCTCGGGGTGGTAGGGTTGGACGAAAGGGGGGACAGGGTGAAATGGTCAACGGGACTCCACGTGCAAGTCGAGTGGGTGTGCACGTGGCGGTGGTGGAGGTCCCCGACCACCCCGAGTGGTTCCTCCCAGAGCTAGGCCACGCGCATCTAGGGTTCGGGGTGGTAGGCAAGCACGTGTTGCATGTGGTGGCTGAGTGCCTGCAGATCCCGCGTCTACTAGTAGGGTAGACGAGTCCACCGTGGATGTTGGAGAGGATGTCACAGAGGAAGAAACTGGGTGTAGGCATGACCAACCAGCCCGGGCCGCCCCGACCCCACCCGACCTGGCCAAGCTACACGGGCTCCAGGGTCGGGTCGGGTCGGGCCGACCTCGGACCAGGGTGCGGGAGGTTCTGGCCCGACCCAGGCCTAAACACTCGGGT